CTTAGCATGTATTAATGGTTAGCAAGGATCAGGTTGGCTATATTCATATTAAAATCATTTGCAATGCATTTTCATAGTAAAATCATTTCCAATGCATTTTCATAGCAAAATAATTTTCAATGAATTTTCATAGTAAAATCATTTGCAATGCATCTCCATGTTAAAATCATTCCCAATACATTTTCATAGTAAAATCAGTTCTAGACGTTTTAACATGTATTAATGGTTAGCAAGGATAAGGTTGACTTATCCTTGCTAACCATTAATACATGTTGCTGAGTAGTGAGTTTAATCCTTACTGGGTGCCTCATAGAAAAAATTCAAATGTAACCCTCCATAATGCCTGGCATGTCATAAAATCCACCAACCAAATTAACTCTCATTCAGCAGCTGGATCCTCTTTTTATTTTGTCATGGCTTAGTGCCATGGATATTGTTATATTTCTGTGGAGGATGAAAGATGCAAAGCTACAAATTGGAGACGTCAGAATCTAGCTGGTACAGTAATTAAAATATCTCGGAAATGTTTTAGCAAAAGTCGGACAATATAACATAGAAATTCAAGCACAGATTGGAATAGGGAAAGATGCCTTGCAAAAGCTCAACAGAACATTAAAAAAAAAGAAGGAAAATGTCATTAGAAATAGAGAAAATATTACTGAACTATACCATATCATTCCTCCTATACTGTAGTGAATGCCGGACATTTTCGTCACAGAGAAAGAGGAGACTTGAAGCAACAGAGAAGTGATTCTACAAAAAGAATGTTAAGAATGCTACGGGCAGGACATGTGAGTAAGAAGGAAGGAAAAATACGTAGATGTAAATTAAAAATCAGAAAGAGCCAATGAGGTTTCTGGGACGCATAATGAAAAAAAAAGAGGGCTTGGTGAATTTGACACTCAGAGGATATATTGGAGGCAAGAGAAACAAAGAAAAACATTGATTAGCCTACCTAATTAGTTTGTTTAAATGGATGACACAATGGAAGCTAGGATCGATAGGAAGAAGGCCATTATTGATTTTTAGATATACAAAGGTATAGAACGTTGTGGAGAGGCATGATCCCGCATCTCCTGAGGTTCCTCTCTAGACATCCTCATGTTTTCTGATATTTTCACATATTTTCAGGTAGAGTCATTTTCTTCTTAGTGGAATCAGCAGGTAGAGTCCAAATTCTGTTGCATTCACTTTCAGTCTACAGCAAAGGCATGAACCCATATATTTCCTTTCACCTATGGGTTAAATAAGAAAACAGACTGTGATCTCTTGCCTAATATGGTAGCCAATTTAGAAGGAAAACCCTGAAACCAAAACTATGGAGCAGGCAATGGGAAACCTACATATTTCCCAAGAAATCACATCAATTCACACATGTTACAGAAATGGGTACTGTGGAGAGAGCCATGATCGTCTCCATCTTGTTTGTTTTGTTTTATAGCACATCAACCTCAATGGGTCATTTAATGCCGACAAACTTTTAGAATAAATTTGCAGAAATAAAATAATATTTCCTTGTAGAATAAGTTTGGTACAGGACTAAATGTAGGTGCATATAGTTGGAATATCATTGTTCAGTTACTCATATTCTTGCTTACAATCTCACTTCTATTAGAAAATGTAATATCTTGGATGGTTTTGTTTTGTTGAAAAGTTCTTTCAAATTGTTCTCTTGGTAACGTTTTGCCCAAGCTAGGTCAAAGTCTGCCCAATCCAGCAATATATGTTTTACTGTAAATCTCTCTTGGTATGTAGTGCATGCTGGAGCTTCTGCACGCTCTTGTAAATGGGGATGGATGATGTACGTGTGTCCTATATGAAGGCGATCAACACTACCTGTTCTCTTCTATTGTTATTGTATTTTGTGTTTCATTCTCTAATGGTGGGTTTAATGTTCAGAAGTTTGTTATTAGTGAGGGTATCCCATTGGTTTTGTCATTTATTTGAGATCATTTTATTGACAACAGTTCTATAATCAGTGTATGGTATTTTTATGTTTGTTATTCTGTCTTTCATTGCTCTCTTTTCTTTTGAGTCTGCTTTGTCATTTCCACATATGCCAAGGTGGCCAACAAAAAAGATTATTTCTTTTTTTTGTGACAGTTGATGAATTCTATTCAGCACCCAGATAGTTAAAGGGTCACTAGATTTTTGATTTTTCAATGCAGTTAGCGCAGAAAATTATTCTGATAAAATTATGAATTTATGGCATAAATATTTTTATCCCGTAAATTATTTAGTTTGGTTTGTTTTGTTTTGTGGCATATCAACCTCGATGGGCTATTTAATGCCAGCTAGATTTTTTTTTATTGCTGGTAATACTTTTTCCAAAAATGTAATGGTACTAATAATTTTTTCTTCAAAAATGTATTACTGGTAAACTTTAGAAAACAATCTATTGCTGGTAATGTAGCCTATTTTTACACTTTCATAGTGCCTTGACTCCAGTTTGGAGGTTTATCTATTTGCCCATAGTTGGGACCCTAACAGGTGCTACCACTCCGGGTCAGGGTGGACCTGGGAAAACCAGCAATTAAGAAGTGGTTCCACGATCCTCAAAACATCCTAATCAGTGGTCTTGCTGTTGGATGTTGTTTATCGTCTAACCCAGGACGAGTTATTGGGACTAATATCTTTGTGGTAGCATTTTGGCTATATGCTCTCTACACCTCGTCAGTTGTCTGATGCAATGTTACATTTTTGTTTTACTGTTAATTTACACAATACATGACACAAGGGCCACTCAAGGTAGAGAGTTACTGAGTGAGATTGTTGTAAGGGAGGGGGAAAAGAGGAAATTAGAAATGTATATCACGAGGATGTGTAGGATAGATATGTATTAAGTTACAGCAACTGCCGTCTGTCAAACTCTCTGCGTTAGCAGAGAAGGAACCCGGACGAAGCTTTGCCGAAGGGCAAGGTTTCGTCCGGGGAGGTTATGACAGCACTCGAACTCGCCTAGGCGAGTCGAAGGCTATATTTTTGGCCGGGCCTACGGGCTCGGGTGACCACGTAAAACTCGGCCTTGTGCCACATGCGGCCCCACGTGGGGGGACAGCTAAATATTGTAGGATAGATATCGGTTGGCCCTGAACTTAGAGACCACTATTTTAGTTGTCAGGGAAGCATCCTCTCGGGAGTTTTTTGTTTAATGATGTTTACCCTGTAAAAGACTCGGGGGCCAATCAAGACAGAGGGATACTTTTGTGATATTGGACGGCTTCGCTTGTCACTTTTGCTATGCCAAGCGAAAGCTCGTTATCATATATATATTCGGGGCCGTAGACGCCGTTACTAGTAGTATCGCCTTCCAATAATATCCGGTTTGCCGCCGTAAACATAGCGTGGTGGGTCCTACCTGTGAAATCCTGGGTTGGTGGAATTAAGGAATACTGTAATAATAATTTTATTTTTAAAGCGATGTTTCTTCAGGATCTTGGTGATATTCGTTCACGACAGGTTTCTTTATTATCTATGAAAGACCACGACATCTTAGGAAAGATAGTAGAGTGGTTTACCGTTGCTTCCTCCACCGTTTTGAATTCAGATTAGCTGACACTGAAAGCTAGAAACCCTAGGAAAATCTACAATACATTGGGCTTCTAATTGGTGATTGCCTAACATGAATGAACTGAAACTTATTGGTCAATACAGCAACAACAAAAGAAAGACTATTAATTCTAATAATTCACAGAATAATGACAATACCATAACAATCTATCTAGCGCTAGGAAGGCCGCAGATCGGATGGGCTGAATGATAGCAGGCGAGACAGCAAATGTAATTAAGTGGTGTGCCGATTAAATGAGAGCACGGGACTTGAATCTTCATTATAAAACATTTTATACACTCCATAATTTAATCAGTTACTCTCAGCCCGTCTGCGGTCCCCGAAACTTCTTGTATGTCCATCTGACGAATATTCTTATTCTCACGCTTGCAATACCGGATGTAAGTGTGTGGTCACGTACTTCTGCATTCGGTGCCTGGGAGTAACTCTCAGGCCGTCTATGATGTAAGCTTCAAACATCGCCACCAGGTCCCGACACCTGAACTCTATATTCGCCGTCAGTGATACCCGAGAAACTGCTCCGAGACTTCTTGTCTGTATATCCATCTGACGATTATTATTATTACTCTTGCAATACCGGATGTGAGTGTGTGGTCACGTACTTCTGCATTCGGTGGCCGGCAGTACCCCTCTTCCATGTCAACCGTGCACCTTGCCCACTTTTGATGGTTTGGAGTGAAGTTTGAGTGCAATATCTGCATAATACAACCCCTCCCCCAAATAAATATAGGAAACAATGGTTACTCTGAATATCTGAAAAGTTCAAAGTTATGAAGGCACGGCACCGTATCGGCCGAAGCGTAGTGATAAAACAACAATAATAATGATATTACCAGTCAGTCTATTCATGTAAGAATAAGAATAATTTAACACAGAACATCAAATGAATCTGATTTCTGATAAAAAATAAAGGAAGAAAAAAACAAAAAAGGCTTGTGATCCTGCAATCTCATCAAAGCTGTTTCGAATTGAAATTCAGTTGAGTTTTCTCATCTTCAGAACATCTGCTGGTGTCCGAGCATAGCCATCTGCTCAGGTCTATCTGTGTTTCTTCAAAACCCACAAAATCAAACTGTGGTTTATACTGCAACTATGCTGAGCGGACATTAGTTACAAATCAATTGTGTGTTCCGCCAGTGTCACATTTGTCCTACTGTATTGTTTGCGAACTACGGCTAGTCTGTCGTGTTATTAACCTACAGCTGAGGGGACGGGAAAAATATGGATTCATACCTTCCAAGAGGTATTTATGCAAAAGCGAACGCAACGAATTCGACCGGAATTCGAACACGGCTCGCCAGTTCCTCATCCCGTTAAACATTATACCACCTGCACATCCAATTATATATATATATATAATTTTCTTTTTGTTCAAGTTTGAAAAGAAGTTACTTCTATATATATTCACCGCACAAAAGTCATATTTTCGATGTTTTGCCTTTTCCCAGTAGATTCCTTTAATCTATTTTACACGCCATTTTTTTCTTCTTGTTTTTCTTTTCTTTGGGGGCTGAGGATATCTTATACGCGCGCGGATGGTATGTCAATGTGTGTGTTCATTCAGGGAGTAACAAGTCTATATTTCCCTATTTTGTTTTTAGGCACTTAAGCAGTTTTTGTTCTTGTCTCGTTTTCACAACGAGCGCGAGGTTCATTATTCACTATTCGATGCAGCCTTGTTTCTATATTTTTCTTTTATTTCGCGCGTGCGCAGTAGATATGCCGTTGTTCGTTAACAATCTCGTGGTTTTAATTCTGATGTGATGTTTGGTTTTGATTAATTGTCGTCTTCGAAAAGACGCCATTCCTTCTTCGAGTTTATTTGTTCATTCATTTCCTTACTCGTCTTTCGCCGACTGATGAGTTAGAAAAATGCATTTGGGGCTTAGAACAACCGCATGCGAGATAAAACAAGATAAATTTCACAGTTAGATTGAGCACTGAATTCGAATTTGCGTCCGCTCGGTATTGGATTTGGGATTCGTTACACAGATACGTGGGTGTTCATGTAAATAATAATGGCGGAAGCATAAGAAACTAACTTGGAAATGAAATCCTGTATATCGTCTTGAATAAGTATCACCGATAATACAAAAAGGGAAGAAAATCCGAACGAGAGAAGAAAAAAAAGAAGCTAAACAAAAACAAAACAAAGTAGGGGGGTTATAATTGTTTTTATTCCGTTATATCCCGCTCGAACGTGTTTGAATGTGAGAATGTAGCATAGGACGAGAGAGGAGACAGCAAAAATTCGTATTTCGCGGTCGTCTGAGACAATACAATAATAATCTGCAGCTGGACCTACTCTATGAGTGACTGAGCTCAGCTAACTAATGGACACATTACAACAATTCAGTATTCATTCAGAGCGAGGCGGACCTAAGAAAAAAAAAACGGGGATAGAATGTAGGATTCAGTTATAAACGTAGGTTCTGTCTTCCCGCAGTTGATGGTCGTTTGCTTGTGCGACATAGTCTGACTACAAAGGGGCCCAACCCACATCATCGCGTGGGTTGCCATAAATTACAACTCTCGCGCGCGTTTAGTGTTTATAGAAGTAACGATGGATAGTTCGAAGTACGTCAAGAAATTGTTCAATCCTTTCTGCAATCGAGTAGGCGATGTGATTTTTCAGCAGAATAATGCCCGCACACGCGTTGGCCGTGCTACTCAAAATACTCTGTAAAATGTTCGACAACTGTCATGGACAGCACCATCGCCAGTCTTGTCAAACATTTATGATATATTATTGGTCCTGACCTAGCATCTCGGCTTCAGTCACTTTCCCACCACCATAATGTAGCTTTCCTGTGCCTTTTCTATAAATACTAATTGTAATTAGTAATAAATACTAATGGTAATTGTTCAGATCAACATTACGCTAGGGAATCTATAGTTTAGAAATTTAAGCGCAGTACTAGATTAGCAAAATGGCGTGGTTTGGACATATTACAAGGTACGACAGCCTGTACAAGACCATCATGCCAGGCACCATTGAAGATGGACGGAGGAGAGGAAGCCAATGCGAAAACTAGTTGGACAATGTCAAACAATGAACAAGTATGACTATACCAGAATTGCTGATGGCTGCCGTTGATAGATCGTTGTGGAGGAGATCCAATATGGCTTCTGCATTTGGATCCCCCCCACTATGATTACAAAAGTTAAGGGGATGATGATGATGATAATGATGATGATGACGATTAGATAAGCAACTAGGTCTCTTTAATTTACAGTTGAATCGGATAGATGTAACCGTAAGTTCTATGCTAAGAGTTTCTTCTCTTGCTTGTGAAACGCTCTTCCGGTTCCCTGAGTTCCAGTCAACATTGATCTGTGGCCCTGGAGCCCACCCCCACCCCCCAATCTCACTACCAAAGGAATGGATTTTCATCAAACAGGGTGCAATCTTTATATCGCGAGACAAACGGCTGTCTACTATAAATATATAAAAGTTAAATTGATTTATTCTTCTAGGTGCCATATCCCTTCAAGACGTTGCCGATCGAGACTCTCCACCATTTCCTGTTCTTTGTAGTTCTTAGCCAATTTTGTCTTTTTGCTATCTCTCTTAATCCCTGTTGCTCCAACGATTTACACATGCTCTTCAGGTAACTTAAGTTCTGTTTTCCTTTTTCCTTCAATACGTCTAGTGAGTGTCACATTTTTCAAGCCCTCTTTCCTCATTATGTGCCCTAAAAATTTCAACTCCCTCTTTCTAATGTTAAGTATAAATGCCCTTTTGTCTCTATTTACTCCTTCGATATTACTCAAATGCTCCGTCCATGATATTCTCAGTATCCTTCTGTAGCACCACATTTCTGCTGCTTCAAGTCTATTCTTCGTTTGTGTTGAGGGGTTCTCCCCTTTTTACACAAAGGAACTCACCCAGCATATACATGTACTACTGCTAGTGAATACCTGAGAGAACGAACGAGATCGAACGAGAACGAACAAGAGTCACAGTGAGCGAGCACCTAGACTCAGTAAGAATTCATACAGCGATACGTCGATACCAAAGACTATATATATATATATATATTGCTACTAACCCGCATTCCTGGAACTACTAACCTGCATTACCAGTTTGTATTATTACATTAATACATTTATTTTCCTATATTCCTTCTTGGGGTTTGTTTTTTATTGGTACCGGATTTCATCCTGGAATCCACAACATTTTGTGAGGAGATTGTCCAGCATTTATTTCCATATAGCAGGGTTTATATTGTACAACAGTTCAGTAGTCTTTTCTTTGTTCGTAACGAAATTTCCTATTTCTTAATACTTCGCTACCCCAATAAACTTTCTGATTTCTCTATGGCACTTTCCGTCCTCTGTTAAAATATATTACTAAATCTTTAAATTATTGTATTTGCTTTAGTTTGGCGTCTCCAAATTGTAATTTGCATATTGGGTTGTTCCCAATATCCAAACTTTGTCACAAACTTTGGATCAATTCATCTGTATCGAACCATTCTTGATCAAAACGTGAACCCGAGCAAATAGATAATCGTGTAAAGACCTCTTACTATTTATATGTTATTATATACGATTTAAAAAAATATATGTTAATGATTTCAGATACATCTATTGTTGATTAATAAAATCGCAACATTTAATAGCATAGCGCATTCAATTTCAGTACAATATATATATATATATATATATATATATATATATATATATATATATATAATGAAAAACAGACAATTTAAAGGCTCCATTGGTTATAATTTATTTCCCCAGGAATTTCTTTTTCCCTGGCTCAACAACCACACTTCCAAGGGTGAAAAATGAATTTAAAACTTACATATATTTTTTTACACTTTTGAGGGATAGTATTAAAGTTGATGTAAGATGATATAGTAATGGTGAGGGATATATCTTGACAGACATGGTCGAACTTAGATATTGGGAAATGCCTAAATAATTTTAATTACCAAGATTTTCACCAATGGACACTTTAAGATATCTGTTTTCATTAAATTAATCGCTCTGATTTAACATTTAGCTCTCCGGATTTCATCCTCCTTTAGATTATTCATATGGATTGCCAAAATTTTTTATTTAACTAATATATATATATATATATATATATATATATATATATATTTTTCATTAAATATGACAGACAAGGTGCTTTGATTAAGTCTTTTATTCAATTTCTCGTGTGATCTTATAATTTATATCTATTAAAAATAACGTATAAACAGAAAACATTACATAATTGTTGGGCTTAATTAATTTCGTAATATATATATATATATATATATATATATATATATATTTAGGCGGCATATCTTCATTCAAACATGTTTGGTTGAATAATCTTGATATATGTCTATTTATTTTCATTTTAATCCTCTCAAATTAACGGATCAATTTCTTAGTGCTGTTACAAACTGTTTAAGAAATACGCCGTAGTTTTGATTATTTCTTTTATTTTCTCAAGTACTTTCAATCTCAACTTAGATCATTTCAATATAAGAAAGTTGACCGGAAATTGGTAGAAATGTAAAATATAAAACCTTGCTTGATTAGGAAGCTCTTCGTTAGCGAGTGGTCAAATGAACGTTGGATCAAAATAAGGCAAATCGAACTTCGGTCTCATAATCATAAAGCTATATTCTCAACGACACGCCAGTTTTTTGATCCTATAATCCATAAAATGCAAACCAGTATGTTGGTTTTTATGCCATTAAATAAAATATTTTTAATACAATATTGAAGCGCATATAAATATAAATAAATGAATAAAACCCCAAAAGAAATTACATGGATATTTTGCTTCGCTTCATTATTAGTAGATCTGAAGCTGCAATTCATCGACTTATATTGAATTGCCGACATGAAACTTCATTCTTTCTATTGTTCTTAAAACTTGTCAATTCATCCTGTCTCTGTCAGTGTCTTTCTAATGACAACAACCTATAGTGTGAAACACAGTAATTAAATCCCTGCGCCATTATTCTAACTCCGACTTATTTTCTGTAACCTTGGCTGCTAAAAGCATGCATTTCCATACAGCCCCCCTTTTTTATCGCTTTTAAAACGCTCGTGTGGATTTACGCATCTTCACTTTCTCTTTCATCGTTTATTTCTTTCTCTAACAACTATCCCGTCCTTTTTTTTCTCTGACCTTGTTTTACATTCCATTTATTCTATACCTGCATCTATTATTTATATATTATCTTTCCCGCTTTCACTCTCGTTCTCTTATTCACTTTCTTTCTTTCTTTTTTTTCTTTCTTTCTTTAGTAATGTTCACCCTGTAATCGACTGTAGAGTGTTACATTTTTTTTCGGTTTGTACGGATAGAAAGGGTCCGTACGGGCAACTTAAGCGGGTTAAGATTTTGTATCCATCGGGGAACATTCTCTTGGGAGTCGGTCCCAATTTTGTATAATGCTTCGTTTTCTAGTGATTCGAGCGGAACTTAATTCTCACCGAATTCTACTGAGAGATTTTTCAGGTTTTACGTAATAGGTATCTGGCAAATTAGGTCCATCCGTGAACGAGTGGAACCAAGGACTAT